TGCTCAATGTTTCCTCTGAACCCCTCCCCCTCCCCAGCTCCACCTGCCTATGTATCCTATTAATCTTACATACAACAGTCTGTGTATCTAGCAGTATGATACAGTAGTCAGTAGTGGATCAAAAAAGTTAATCAAAGTTAGTTACTAAGACAAGAACGAGTATTGTTCAAAATTCATGTATAACTTTGATGAAAGGTTTTGATCCACTGCTGTATAATCAACTGAGATGAGCATGAACAAATGATGGGGGAAAGCATGCTATTTTTTTTTTAGATTACACAGAAATCTTTTACAAATGAAATCCAGTATTTTTAACCAGATGTTCCTGACTTTCAAGCTCTTCCTCATGCAGATGCCACACATTTTTACTGAGGGTGTTGAACTTCACACAGATAACAGCAAGACTCCACCTAAGACAGCTCTGTCTGAGAATAACACTTAATGTGTCCATGTTTCACACAGGGGTGAACAGTAACGAAGTACATTTACTTGAGTACTAGTACACTTTTTGAGTATCTTTAGGCTTACTTGAGTGTTATTTTTTCTGGAAACTTTTAACTTTAACTTCACTACATTTGAAAGACGAATATTGTACTTTTTACTCCACTGCATTTCTGTCAGGGTCCTTGAGTATAAAGTAGTAACGTCCATAGATATCCATAATAAAGGCTAGATGTCTTACGGCGGAGTCTCTATCGTCATCACCGGCGGCCATCTTGTCACAGGCAAGCTTTCTGGCGGGCTCTGTGGTGCCTGATGTAAGATGAGTGATCAGCACAAACACAAATACTCTTAACTCGTTGAAATCTTGACGGATTTACAAACGGTTTCTTACAAACGTTATTAATAATTCTGGATGATTATTTATTTATACACTTATTGTTCATAAGTATGTAGTGTCATAACTACCTCTCTGACATTTATAACAAACCAAACCGTTTGAAAATCGGTAGAAAATTGAGCAAGTTATGGTTATTTAAAAAGTACATGCACCATTAAAACACAATGTTACGAGTGAGCGAGCTGACTGTGGCAAGATGGCCGCCAGTGCGGACGTCGACCTCCATTGGCCAGCAGCGCGGACGAGTCATCTAGCCTTTATTATGGATAGGCTATCTATGGTAGCCTAACGTCAGTCAGGAGAGGATTTTTTTTCATCTCTAAAACGTGATTGGTGACAGACAGCCTATCAGTGATCACTCTTGTAGAGTCACGTGTCGTGAAGTTCAGCGATTTCCCATCATTTGAACACAAATCAACTGGAGGCAACGAAGACATATCCTCGGCGCATGCGCACATCCATGATTCAAATTTTTTATAGACCACTTGATTTAAATGTGCATGCATGAATGAATACACATAGATGTAACTTCTTTTGTTTGGGTGGTAGGAGTGTTAATTTTTTTTTATTTTATTTTTTTTATATGATTATGGCTGTCTTTTTTTTTTGTCAATTCAGTTTAATTTCTATACGTTTTATACCATTCAAGCTCTTAATTCCACAGATACTACTAACTAGTATTATTCACTAGGTTGCTTCAGAGGCATAAGGCACAGTAAGTATTACATACAACAATGCAACAATAATAAAACAATGCATTGACATTGACTTTGTACTTTTGATTCTAAAAACAAGTACTTCTGTACTTTTACTTAAGTAAAAATCGGTCTTTTACTTGTAACGGAGTAATATTTGACCAGTATCTGTACTTTCACTTAAGTAAGGAAGTTATGAGTTCAAGATGGACACTGGCGATGAAGAGTACAGTATATTAAGATCTGACTGTGCCCAGATTCTGACCCGTTACTGACCTTGATGAAGTACTTTCACTAGAGTACAGTGTGTCTCTTAAAGAGCATGCTGGGAACGATCCTTCTGTTGTGGTAAAGTGACTTGGCACTGCCTTTAAAATGGCACTGTCTATGGTTTGTCCGTGCCAGAACAGATTTTTCCAAAACAACGTTGGAATGCTTGTGCTTTACTATAGAATAATTCCCTTTTAAAGACACTGGCGATGGATCAGAGCGAAGCTGGAAACTGTCTAAAGTTTCTACATTGCCAAAAAAAAAGTGTTTTCCAGTACAAATATCTAAACATTCTTAAATCAAGATGCATTTACTGGAGAAGCAAAATGACTGAAAATATTAAGTCTTGTTGACTGAGAAATGTCAAGATGAAGTGAGTTTGACCCCACACTCTAAAAAATGCTGGGTTGTTGGGTCAAAAATGGACAAACCCAAATGTTGGGTTAAAAATGTAATTAAAAAATTTACAGTTGAAAGTTGAAGTTGGGTTAAAATTTTAAATTACATTTTTAACCCAACATTTGGGTTTGTCCATATATTTGACCCAAATTTGGGTTAAAACAACCCAGCATTGTTTAGGGTGTGTCCATATTATGTTTTGTTTTCTGATGTGTTTATGCTTAAAACGAGAAAACAATATGCATATTGTTTTCTCGTTTTAAGCATTAACACATCAGAAAACATACAAACATAATATCTTCTGTCATGTTGCTTCTCAAGTACATGCATCTTGATTTCAGAATGTTTACACTCTAAACAATGCTGGGTTGTTTTAACCCAAATTTGGGTCAAATATGGACAAACCCAAATGTTGAGTTAAAAATGTAATTTACATTTTGTTTAAATCTTTCAACTGTACATTTTTTAATTACATTTTTAACCCAACATTTGGGTTTGTCCATATTTGACCCAAATTTGAGTTGAAACAACCCAGCATTTTTTAGAGTGCAGATATTTGTGCTGGAAAACAAGGCAAAAATACAGAGATGTTTTTGCAATATATGTATTTACGCACATTCTTACAATCTCAGGAAATGCTTTCAATATGGCCTGGAATGCTCCTCATATTTATAAATGATGTTGGATTTTCCATTGCAATATTCTAGATCTTTTCTTGTATGCCCTTTAACATATATATCCTACCCTACAGGTTTGGGAGTCACGCCAGGCAATAACAGTCGGAGTTATCTCTTATCTGTTCAACCAAACCTCAAGCCTATAGCACATACTACACATACACATTATCCTCCTCGTAGACTAACAAGTCGCTACCAAAATAATTCACACTGCCAAAACACACTTGAGATAAGCAGATGGAGCTCTATCTGCGTCCACGCGGGCATCAGCGAAGGCTCAAACTGTAGTATTAAAAATAAACAAGCGCACATTGTGAAGGCCATGATCTCACACAGGCTTTGCACTTCAGCTGCAAAAACAAAGTGTCCATTTGAAGCTTAATCGTTGCGTCCACAACAGCAATAAGCCTCTCACTAAGAGGTGAAACATAAGAGGGAACACGAGTGATTTGTTTGCGACCTTTGGGACACGACTTCTAACATGGTCGAAAATCATACGCAGTTCAGAGAGGAAATGCCATTTGATCGTTGGTTTTAGTTACAGGTGAAACTCGAAAAATTAGAATATCGTGCAAAAGTTCAGTAATTCAACTTAAAAGGTGAAACTAATATATTATATAGACTCATTACATGCAAAGTGAGATATTCCAAGCCTTGTTATAATTTTGATTATGGCTTACAGTTTATGAAAACCTTTTCACAATATTCTAATTTTGAAGCTGTAAGCCATAATCATCACAATTATAACAAATAAAGGCTTGAAATATCCCACTTTGCATGTAATGAATCTATATAATATATTAGTTTCACCTTTTAAATTGAATTACTGAACTTTTGCACCATATTCTAATTTTTCGAGTTTCACCTGCACGACTGTAGATGCGGGAATTAATGAGACAGTGAATCAGCAAAAGCGATAGTTCATCTTTTAAAGGTCAGCTGCGCCGCACCTCGCTGAATGTAGACACACATTCATGCACTGCAATGTTTGGAATTTGCTAAATGTATAGAAAGTGAAGTCAGCTGGGCAGGTTTTCATTGTGTCCAAAAGAAAGACAACATTTTTGGGTCATAATTGGCTCCAGTCCATGTTTAGTACGCCAGCATTAAAGAATAAGGAAGGTCGTTTTCAGAAATCAGACGATTTAATATGAGAATCTTACACGTTCTTCCTTACAAGAAGCCATTTTGTGCTTCAGATTTGGCAAACATTTTGAATCTGAATCATTTTCTCACCTGTGAAAGTCTTGGCGTGTTGAATTAGTGAGGTAACTAACAAAGCCTTGATTGTAGGTCACCGTAAAACACAAATATCACTCAAGTTGAGTAAATAAAAGACGACCAGAGGTATTCTTGCCTAAATTGTCTTTTATTGAAAAAGGCCAGGGTGCAAATGTCAAATAAAAAAAGAAAAACAAAAATAAGACAAGCATTTTTCAAGCATTTTAATACAAACTTAATATAAACTATTTCAGTCCCTCTTGACATGTAAGACACTGACTCAAAATACTTTGTTATACCATATTTTATCAAGTATTGCACAATGTAGGTACAAAATTAATATATACGATTACATTGTCCATAATATAGCAAAAATCTGTTTAACTCTTAACAGAAAATACAACTCTTTTTGTTTCAAAAAAGCAAATATTCCTACACTGAAATTCCAACACTAAGGAATATTCTGTACACAATCTTTAGAATTTTTGATCTATTTTTTTTTTAAAGATGAATTTCTTTAACAATTTAAAAAAAGAAAGACAAAAAAACTAAATATATTATAACATAAAGCTTCTGCAGCCATCACAGATCACTGGAGTAGTAAAAAGATATAAATGCAATACCATGTTGTAGAAACAATATATATACTCTGATATTTTACAAACTCTGTACTCAATTAAATTATACAATTAGAAAAAAGACCACGTAACCCCAGATATATATGCATTAGTGCCAATTTCTTAAAAATCAGCCAAGTCTTACCAACTTTTAAAATACTGTAAGAGGCCAGAACTTGAACTTCTGTGTGTGTTTTTTTTTTTTACCAATGTTTTAAAGTTTTTTTTTTTCTTCCAAAAAGTAGTAAAAAAAATCATTTTTTGCTTTATTGGCAAAAGAAAACATTGACGCGTGTTGACCAAGCTGTGTGTATGTGTGTGTGTGTGTGTGTGTAACAAGCTTTTCAGTACAAACTCAAGGGGGCATAAAAAGAGATTAGGAAGAAATCAAATCAAATAAAACAAAACACCCTTGGGCTCATGCGCTTATCACCGACTATTAATAGGGATCTTCGATTTCCACATCCACAGTTGTGCGTCTTTGCCTTACGTTTTCCTTTTGCCAACAATCCTTCCATTAGTTAGCCATGACCGGCTGGAATTGCTGGTTCGAATACTGCATGTTTCCCAGACTGAGGCTCAAGCCGTCCATGAGAGACTTGTCGTTGATGTTCCCGTACGCGGAGAACACGTCGAAGGCATTGCTGTACGGCTGAGGGCTAATGGCGTTCTCGCTCGGGAAGATCCCTTGTCCTTGAAGGTTTGGGAACACGAACTCCTTAGCGTTAGGAGACAACGCTGATGCTTTTTGCTGGCCGAATCCATAGAGCGAATGCATCGAGTTGGAAATGGCTTTTTGCTTGATTAGGTTGTTGACGTTCAGGCCTAGATTGGTGGGAGAGTTGCGGGAGACTTTTCCGCCGTTACGCCCACCGTTCTTCATCTTAGTGGAGCCGAACTTGGTGGCGGCGAAGGACGCGGTGGTGAAAGTTAAAGGCTGATTGGATCGTGGCATGAAAGACGGGCTAACGGATGCCGATTGGCCGAACGGTGGCGGCGATGGCGAACTCGACTCTGAGGACACGCCCACTGGGTCAGTGATTGGCATGAAGACCTGAGCCTCCGGGTTAAAACTGTTTCTGATTTCTTTGTCCAACTCGGAGCCGTTTTCGCCGTTATCGTCCACGTATAGCACCTTAACCGCTCCCTTCTCGCCAATCTGGTAGGAAACCTCGAAAGGGTCGATCCAAACGCTGAGATCCTGAGGCAAGTTATTCCGAACGTCTTCGATGTCCAACCCGCTTTCTTTGGCTGCTTCCTCAACGACCGGATCTACTTTCTCGCCCACATGTATACACCTAAACCCGGATCCTTTATATGGCTTGTCTGGGTACCAATGTCCTTCGTATTTCTTCTTCAACTGCCTCTCCAACTCTTCGCCGAATATGTTGACTCGTCGTCGTGGGAGTTTGTTGTACAGGTACGAAATTATGAAGTTCAGCGCTACTTGGATTTCAAGCTGCATAGCTGTGTGTCTGTGCCGTCTTTAAAGTCGAGTGCTGTAAAAACCTCCAAGGCAGTAGCGATCGGTGCTGGTGGACGAGGAAACGCTTGTTGATCCACTGGAAAATCTCCTTGAAGGGGAAAGAGAGGCAAGGTATTCAGCTGTGAAGAGTAATAAACCATGAGATATTCAATCTCAGGCTACATAAAAACACTACTGATAGGGTGGGCAGACCAGACGTTCAAATAAAGGCCACAAATGCATTTCATAAAATCACAGAGACACAAGTACAAAGGCTAAAAGCGATCAAATCAGGTTAAATTTGCTTAATCCGTTGCGTTTTGTGTGTCATAGGCCTGGGGTTTTTAAGTGGGGGCCGAAAAGGAGTGCTGGGAGTTTGGAGAAAAACATGCAAATAAGTTTGATTAAAGGGTTAATTCACCCAAAAATGATCCTGTATTTATACTCGCCTCAAGCCATCCTAAGTGTATATGACTTTGGCTGAAAGAAGAAACACAATCCGAGTTATGAAAAAATATCCTGGCTCTTCCCAGCTTTATAATGGGAGTAAATGGTACCTGAGATTTTAAAGCCCCCCAAAAAAACATCCATCCATCATAACAGTAATCCATACGCCTCCAGGGGTTAATAAAGGCCTTCTGAAGCAAAGCCATGTTTTTGTAAAAGAAATATTTATAACTTTACTGTAATTACTGGTTGTAACAGCCGTACGTGAGTCTAGCTCCGGCGCAAGAGTGACCTGTGACCCGACGGATGACCTCTGACCCGACGTATTGACGAATGCAGAAGCACAGAGGATAGAGCAAAACAAAACACCAGTCATGAATTATAAGTCTAAAACGAGAATTTTTAAAGAGAAATGTGGGAGGAGCTTGAGTTTCTTCTTTGAGCTTATGCTACACCTTCATCATGTATCAGGTCAGAGGTCATGTGTCGGGTCAGAGGTCACTCTTCTGCCAGAACTAGACTCACATACGGCCATTACCGGAAGCCAATAGTGCATAAAGTTATAAATATGTATATTTATCTTAAAAAAAAACATTGCTTCCCTTTAGAAGGCCTTTATTAACCCCTGCAGGCGTATGGATTACTGTTATGATGGATGGATGCACATTTTTGAGTTTCAAAATCTCAGGTACCATTCACTCCCATTATAATGCATGGAAGAGCCAGGATGTTTTTTTAATATAACTGTGTTTGGCTGAAAGAAGAAAGTCATATACACCAAGGATGGCTTGAGGGCAAGTCAATTATGGGATAATTTATTTTTGGGTGAACTAACTCTTTAAATAAAGAATGTATTAAATATACATTTTATTTAAATAAGCAGTACAGTAGGTTACTATAGTGCGTAGGAAAAAATATTCCCATTTATTTTGAATTTTTTCACAGTGTAAATTCTATCCATCTATCTATCTATATGGGGGTCCCTTATCTATCTATCTATCTATCTATCTATCTATCTATCTATCTATCTATCTATCTATCTATCTGGGGGTCCCTCGCACGAGGATGATCACGTTTGGGGGTCTGTGGCATCTAAAGGATTGAAACCCACTGTTCAAGGGAGATTACATAACACGGATTCTCTTCCCTACTTTATTCCGTCAACTGTTGCGTAAAAACGCCTTTATGTGAATATAGGGCGTTTGAACACAATGCGACACATTGCGCAACAGATCGGCGATCGGATTTCCCGAAGATCGCGACCAATAGCGTGTCGCCCTGCTCGGGGTGTGTATCCCTGGGCGAATTGGTAAGCTATTGTACACATATAATTATAAAGGCAGGCTTACATTCGATAATACAACCAGGAGCTTTGATATTCGGTGGTTAAGACACGAATCAAGGAAAACATATGCGTAAAATAGTGCGTTTTTCTCGCGTATGGGCTCGTAATTCCGACAAAAACAGACGTCGGTTATTGCGTAGCAAACGAGCGTTGGAATCAAATGAGACACTGCCATGATTATTATGAATATGGATGGGAATATTCTGGACGCCGTGTTGAAATGACTGCAAAACCGTAAACAGATCAGCTCAATCGCTGTGGATAAGCCAAGCTAAATGACGAATCAAAATGTGGATTTGAATGAACTTTGACACTGTAAATGTTTTGGGATTCATGACAAACAGACGACAGCGTGAACACTCACATGATCGCAGGCTAGATTAAACTAATTCATGATAAATAAGTTAAATAAAAAGCAACCGTTTATCAAACACATCCAAGGTCTCAATTCAAGCATACAATCAACATTTGAATGAATCGGTTTCTTAAAGCGACAACGCACTCAAATAAATATTATACTTGCCTTCCAAACGACATGCGTTGTTTCCCTGGAGCACAAAAGATGATTTTAGGGACTAACAGCCTCGACCATTGACTTATTACAATGCATTTTCTTTCCATACCATACAAGTGAATGGACGTAACCGAGGCTGTCATTCTGCCTAACGCCTCCTTTTGTGTTCCACCGAGGTTTACACCATTATTTTTGAGTTAAACTACAGCTTTAAGGCAGTGACATTGAGATACAACGATATATAGCCTATTTATTAACCCTCAGCGAACGACACATTACGAATGTAAACGCCAAAAATACTTACATTAAACGACCGTGTTTTTCTCTCAGGGTTGGGCTTCTGCTTCAGTTATCGAAAAGATTATTCCAGTTAGGTTGCATTAATAGGATTACTTGTTTGTTCTTCGGGTAATTGTGTTATTTTTTGGAGTCTGTCGTCAAGCAATACGACTCCCCACTGCCTGGGAGTTTTTACAACTCTGCCCTTTAAACTCCTGACTGGATCTCCTTTATAGCGCTCCTCCGCCACGGACAGGTTGGGGGCGGTGATGCGGTTTTCAGAGGTCAAAACCCCAGCGACGCTCACGATTGGACGAACGCGCCTTCGTCATATATTTGCCTCCGAATTCTCCGCGCTGATTGGTTTTGCTCTAACGTCAATAATCAAAGGGACCCGCCCCTCGACCAATAAACGAAAAATACAGTAACGGCTGGCGTTTCTAGTTATGTTTTAAGTGTTTTCCTCCCACACGTAGGAGATTTAAACACAATAATACTGCATGCTTTATTATGTTAATTTGATTTATCGAGACACCTCATAACATAGTGCTGTTAACAGCCTATCCTTATAAATCAGTCTCTCTGCAGCTTTCGTTGACATGATCATGAAGTCAGATTAAAGGTTCTGATTAATAATCTCGTTAATACTTTCAGACATATTAAGCAGATACGAAGGTATTAATAAATAAAAGCAATAGGCTACATTAAGAGCAAAGCACTAGCACAGAGCGGAGTGACACTGGTCATTTGTCCACTGAGGTGTAATCTGCCCTTGTGTGTTTTGCGTGAAAAAATACTCAGATGCTATTGGCTGGCCGTGCTTTCGTCATCATCAATGCAAATACACTAGTTGTTTCAGTATGTGCAGAGTGTATAACAAAACATAACTTAGTTTTAGCAATTCAGTCAATGAAAAGAACTTTACTATATATATATATTTATCTATAATGTAATGTAAATAGTCCCAAATATTATGGATTTAAAATGTACTTTTTAGAGGAAAAAAAGAGTAAGATTTTTTCTCTCTTTCCTTTCCTATTTTCAGAATGTTATTTAGTATGTTATATTGTCTATATTTTTTGTTAAAGTAATACACTCAGTATCCATTTCTGTGGTTAAACCTTGTTGTGACATTATGCAATATGCACAATACATTGCTTTTGAAGAACATATGACGGCGATGAGTGCATGCGACTAAATAAACATGCAAGTTATTTATTAATACAAAAGTCAAAATATAATTGTCTGATAACAGTGTAAATCAAAACGCAGTTATTCATCTGTGCTGCATATATTGTAACGTGATACAGCCGTGTTGTGTTGCTTTTTCTATCAGGAATAGTATGTTGATCTCATATTTCATTGGACGAGTAAGACAAGCTCCCATACGCGAGGGGTTTAAGGGTTTTGTCGGCGTCATGAATTGTTATAAGCTGTGCACACAATAAGCTTACACCATATGGACGAGGATTGGCAATGAGGAATATTGCTCTTTCAGCCATTGTATCTTTAAATATTTAGCTTAAGACATTTGGGATTCCAGACTCACAATACAGTTTAAAATGAACCCTGAGCCGAGATTATTCTGTTTTATAAGCAGGTTCTGCTCTGGGGTGAAGCAGAAATAAAGCTAGTCCCATCTCTACTGTTTGTCTAGGCAACATTTTTCATATTGGCCTGATTACAGAGAGAGGAACATGCTAATGACTGCAGATTTCTAAACTGGGTAGTCAGGATAAGCTAATTTGCTTAGCAGGGATATTGTGAGCGTTCAAAGTTCAGAGAAAGGCAGAGCGGGAGGAGAAACGACAGACTCAGCCAATCACCTTCTTATTACCACCGTCTTGGGTTATAGCGACTGCTGACACTGAAATGTGACCTGACGGCCTTTCTCTACGGTCGGTGTGGAATTAAAAACAATGTATGTCACGTAGGAACCCAAACACTGTCATTTGAACTCTACCTGAGGCAATTTGTATCATTTAAGTTTGGCTTTCCTTATCCAACATCAACTTAAAAGGTGAAACTAATATATTATATAGACTCATTACATGCAAAGTGAGATATTTCAAGCCTTTATTTGTTATAATGTTGATGATTATGGCTTATGAAAACCTTTTCACAATATTCTAATTTTGAATTTGGGGATTTTTAAGCCATAATCATATACATATCAACAATATAGCAAACACAACAACATATAAATATGCATGGTTATTAGAACCATTATTAATAACTGAGCTATACAGCAATAATTGAGCATCAAATCATCATATTAGAGTGATTTCTGAAGGATTATGTGACCATGAAGACTGGAGTAATGATCAATTTTTAATGTTTTGCTTGATCGGAATGGGATGAAATTTGGTGGCTTTTGTTGTAGTTGCTACGTGAACCCACACAAGAATCACGGACATGATTCAGATGTGTTAATCTGAAATATTGGATTTATTGCAAGTTCCTTCAAAAATAATAATAACACTTTTAATGGGAAAAATAAAGCCAATAATACCATTAAAAAAGGTATAAATATTATTGTATCATATAATCTCCTCAAAATTCTAAATAATAATCAAAAAATTTTATTGAACAAAAATGTATAACATTGATTTTCCTGAAGAGAAAAAAAAAGTTAGATTTTAAGGCTTTGTCACTTTTGACCGCGAAGGCACTTTATTTGGCCCAAAAGGCTATAAATAAATAAATAAATAAATAATGCAAAAATATTTTTTCCTTGTTTTCCAATACAAATATCTAAAGATTCTTAAGTCAGGTAGACATTTACTTGAGAAGGAAAATTACTCGAGAAATGAAGTCTTGTTCTCTAAAAATGAAGTGAGTTTGTGCTTAAAACGAGAACACACTTCTGGTCAGAAAAATCAAATAAACTCAAAAGAAAAACAAGATCCTTTTTCTGACCCTGTCGGCAGATATTTGTTCTTGTTTCAAGCAAAAACTCTTAATTTTGATCAGAAAACAACATATTATCTGATATAATTTTGCTTCTCCAATAAATGTATCTTGATTTACGAATGTTTAGATGTTTATGCTGGAAAACAAGACAGAAATACAGTGTAAAAGCATGACATTCATCCTCCTGTGAAACACAAAAGAAGGTATTTTTGAGTTGTTGTTGTTGTTGTTTTGCTCATACAATGAAAGTCAATGGTCACCAAAACTGTTCGGCTATACCAAATATGTTCTTTTCTAAGAAAGAAAGTCACTTTGGAACAACAATAGGACCAAACTTGCATAAATCGCTATATAGTAGAAAGACTTTTGGTCTATGACATAAAAACGAAACACCTTGCATAAGTATGATGTAGACACTGTCGCATAGCAACAATAAATATTGAACTCACAACACACTGGGGCTCCTCCCTGATGATGATGTCACGGCTCACACACCTTCGTGTTTCTTCACGACACACACTCAGTTATTTCAGGAACGGGTGTTAAGAAAGAGCAGCCGTTCTGCATTCCTGCGTCAGTGTTTCCATACACTCGTGTGTGTGTGTGTCTGTCACTGAAGTACAATGAGCAAAAAGCACACGCTTCATACGGGTTCAGAGGAGAAACTGGACTGGGAATGAAGCATTTCCAGCAGTGCACTGACTCACAGTAGGCGGATCAGGCCATGAATGAGGATGACGATGATGATGATGATGATGATGTGAGGAGAATATTGGGCAGAGCAACACTAAAGGCCATATAATGCACACGTACGTTCAATTAAACTCGCCATTAAATAAAAGTAGGACATTTGTAGAGATCAGATCATTTATTTTCTTCTCTTATATACTGTACTCTTGTACTTAGACGTGTGTGTGTGTGTGTGTGTGTGTGTGTGTGTGTGTGTGTATATATACACTCACCGGCCACTTTATTAGGTACACCTGTCCAACTGCTCGTTAACACTTAATTTCTAAGCAGCCAATCACATGGCGGCAACTCAGTGCATTTAGGCATGTAGACATGGTCAAGACAATCTCCTGCAGTTCAAACCGAGCATCAGTATGGGGAAGAAAGGTGATTTGAGTGACTTTGAACGTGGCATGATTGTTGGTGCCAGAAGGGCTGGTCTGAGTATTTCAGAAACTGCTAATCTATTGGGATTTTCACGCACAACCATCTCTAGGGTTTACAGAGAATGGTCCGAAAAAGAAAAAACATCCAGTGAGCGGCAGTTCTGTGGGCGGAAATGCCTTGTTGATGCCAGAGGTCAGAGGAGAATGGCCAGACTGGTTCGAGCTGATAGAAGGGCAACAGTGACTGAAATAACCACTCGTTACAACCGAGGTATGCAGCAAAGCATTTGTGAAGCCACAACACGCACAACCTTGAGGCGGATGGGCTACAACAGCAGAAGACTCCACCGGGTACCACTCATCTCCACTACAAATAGGAAAAAGAGGCTACAATTTGCAAGAGCTCACCAAAATTGAACAGTTGAAGACTGGAAAAATGTTGCCTGGTCTGATGAGTCTTGATTTCTGTTGAGACATTCAGATGTTAGAGTCAGAATTTGGCGTAAACAGAATGAGAGAATGGAACCATCATGCCTTGTTACCACTGTGCAGGCTGGTGGTGGTGGTGTAATGGTGTGGGGGATGTTTTCCTGGCACACTTTAGGCCCCTTAGTGCCAATTGGGCATCGTTTAAATGCCACGGCCTACCTGAGCATTGTTTCTGACCATGTCCATCCCTTTATGGCCACCATGTACCCATCCTCTGATGGCTACTTCCACCATGTCACAAAGCTCTAATCATTTCAAATTGGTTTCTTGAACATGACAATGAGTTCACTGTACTAAAATGGCCTCCACAGTCACCAGATCTCAACCCAATAGAGCATCTTTGGGATGTGGTGGAACGGGAGATTCACATCATGGATGTGCAGCCGACAAATCTGCGGCAACTGTGTGATGCCATCATGTCAATATGGACCAAACTCCCTGAGGAATGCTTCCAGCACCTTGTTGAATCTATGCCACGAAGAATTGAGGCAGTTCTGAAGGCAAAAGGGGGTCCAACCCGTTACTAGCATGGGGTACCTAATAAAGTGGCCGGTGAGTGTATATATACACTCCAAAAAATGCTGGGTTGTTTCAACCCAAATTTGGGTCAAATATGGACAAACCCAAATGTTGGGTTAAAAATGTAATTTAAAATTTTAACCCAACTTTCACTTTCAACTGTAAATGTTTTAATTACATTTTA